GGACTCTATTTGTCACCCGAAGTTAGCAGTTGATGGATCTATATATATATGAGGTGAGTAATCAATGCAAAACGAAGTAATACAGTCAATATAAATTTCTAACAAAACTAAGAACCCTGGTCTGGTGTGAGGAGAGGGGAATTAAAACTCAATAATCATATCCATAAGGCTACTGTGCATGCATGGTAAACATTAAGCTGATATTTTAAAATGCTGCTTTTCTACTAATGCCCAATCTGAAGTATAGTGTCCTAATATAATGCAGATGATGAATATAAGATCCAACCAAGAAACTGCATGGGTGATCTTTTATTCGCATTTCATGGTCCAGTTCAACAGGGGTTCCCCACACAGAAGTCTCTTTGGCATGTAGAATAGCCTGCTTAATCGTGGTACGTGTGTCAAGTTTGATTTCATAGTATAATAATGTTATAGTTGCACTGTTTATATTACAGTTACGAGCTGCGCTTTAACTCTAATTAAAACCTGGCTTCCTGCCAATTGCACTGAAAACATATCAAGCATAGGACCAAGTGAACTAATTAAAACATTAACCGGCATCGCAGCCTTGTGTATTAACAGTCCTGATCACAGTTCTATTAGCATGTTTTAAATTTTAATTGTGTTCATCATCACAGAAACCCCATGAAGTTAATAACTAGAGCTGATCAGGCAAATGCTCTCACACATCAGCCATATGGCTCCATGATGTCATGGCTGTTGGCCACACCCACAAGTAGCTGTGCATTCAGCATCAATATGAATGAAAGCCTATATGTAGGGGCATGGCCAATCAAAATTTCCATTCCCATAGAGGTGTCCTGCACATGGGTGCAAATCCTCTTTCACACTGATGTTGAATGCTTGGCTGCTAGGCTAGTGCACAGTTTAGCATCGAAGAGGTATGTCTTGCACATGCAATTTATTTCTTTTTAAAATAAATCAGTTCAGTTGAATGGAGTTCACTGAACTATTTCAAAATCTCCGAACTACACCTGAAAGTAGTTCCTACAAATGTCAGGGGAACTAAAGGTGAATTACGATAATTTGGGAGCAGAACTTTAAACAATTCCTTCATGTTCAGTATCTAGATCAAGGGAAGTAATAGTGCCACTGTATTCTGCTCTGGTCAGACCTCACCTGGAGTACTGTGTCCAGTTCTGGGCACCACAGTTCAAGAAGGACACTGACAAACTGGAACGTGTCCAGAGGAGGGCAACCAAAATGGTCAAAGGCCTGGAAACGATGCCTTATGAGGAACGGCTAAGGGAGCTGGGCATGTTTAGCCTGGAGAAGAGGAGGTTAAGGGGTGATATGATAGCCATGTTCAAATATATAAAAGGATGTCACATAGAGGAGGGAGAAAGGTTGTTTTCTGCTGCTCCAGAGAAGCGGACACGGAGCAATGGATCCAAACTACAAGAAAGAAGATTCCACCTAAACATTAGGAAGAACTTCCTGACAGTAAGAGCTGTTCGACAGTGGAATTTGCTGCCAAGGAGTGTGGTGGTGTCTCCTTCTTTGGAGGTCTTTAAGCAGAGGCTTGACAACCATATGTCAGGAGTGCTCTGATGGTGTTTCCTGCTTGGCAGGGGGTTGGACTCGATGGCCCTTGTGGTCTCTTCCAACTCTATGATTCTATGATTCTATGTTCATGTTCATGTTCATTCCTGCCACACACCCCTCCCTACCTGCAAGGCCCCAGAATGTTAGCTTTCATTATTTTATTTTAAAGTCAATCAGGCATTGATAAAGAAAGTCAGAAAGCAAGACCTGGAGGCAGTGTTCTATGGCTTATTAGGCAGATAGAGAGGCACTGCTGATGCTAAGGTTGCTTAGTCACTTAATCACTGCGGCTAAGCAATCAGAAGGAAGGAATGCAAATCCAGCAGGCAAGTGTCTGAGCCAATATGACCTTCCCTGTTATCTCACTTATCCATAATGTTCAGCCAATGGATCCATAAATTTGAGTGAATAAATGATACAGCAATGCAGAAGTCAATTTGACACAGAATGACACAGGAGTTATTATGTCCTTCCCATTTCCAGATGGAATGCCAAAGTCCACAGACAGGATGTGAGAGATTCGACACAGATCATTGTCAGCTGGCTTTGTTTTCTAACAAACAAACCTAAATGACTTGACAAGCAAAACTAGACATCACAATTGAAAAATGCATTGTTCTTTGTTTGTTTGTTTTTAAGAATCCAACATTCTTATTCTTTGCTTGCATTTGCTTTGTTTTGCATACATCAGCTCACCTGAGTCCTAACTGGACGCGGGCTATGTAACTGGATTAACAATCACTGTTTATAAATATTTTAAGATGGAACAACCATGGCGCCTGACAAAGAGCTGCAGTACAAAATTGGCGTGAAGACGGTGGGAACTATGGAAACCTCTAAAGGAGTGCCAAGCGGTGCCATTTTATTTCCCTCTGCCAAACTGCAACAGCTACTGCAAGTGGCTGGGACATTTCTCTTTCTCTCTCTCTCTCTCTCTCTCTCTGGCTCATTAGCAGAACAAAGCTGTTTTCGCACGGCAAATGGGAGCCTTTTTGATATAACACTAGCTTGGAAAAAGCAACAGGGTTAATTACCACTTAAAGTGTAAATGGCAAATGTCCCATGTTGGGGCTCATTCCTTGGTATGTAAAAGTTAAGAGAGAGCCAAAAGACAAAAGACACTTCCAGTTGCTAAGATCCTTTGCTCAAGCACTGGCCCAGCACTGAAGTGCTCTAGAATTGCTCCAGTACCATAAGCAATGTACTGCAATATGCAGAAGCAAGGATGGTTCTTTCAGCCTTTTGCCCTATTGACTCTGGAAACCTGGGGTCTCCATAAGACCATCAGGATGATCTAAGCATGAGTCTGGCTTCCCTAAAGAAGCATATGTTGCAAACACCTGCTTTGAATCAGTGCAGCAAAGATCACTGCCTGCTAAACCCATCTGCTTGTGATACCACACTTTTGCCATTGAATATTGACTTGCTGCAGCAACATCACAGTGACAATCTCAGACCCTCCAATTGTCCCTATTTTGCAGGGACAATCCCAGATTTAGAAGCTGTCCCGGTTTCTGATTTGATCTCGGAATGTCTTGCTTTTCCTTAGGATGTCACTATTTTCACTGGAGAAATGTTGGAAGATATGGCAACCCCCATGCTAAGGAGATAAGTAACTATACAACCTTTAGAAGACATCTGAAGGCAGCCCTGTACAGTGGTACCTCGGGTTACAGACACTTCAGGTTACAGATGCTTCAGATTACTGACTCCGTTAACCCAGAAATAGTACCTCGGGTTAAGAACTTTGCTTCAGGATGAGAAGAGAAATTGTGCTCCGGCAGTGCGGCGGCAGCAGGAAACCCCATTAGCTAAAGTGGTACCTCAGGTTAAGAACAGTTTCAGGTTAAGAACGGACCTCCAGAATGAATTAAGTTCTTAACCCAAGGTACGACTGTATAGGGAAGTTCTTTTATATATTTAATGTTTTATTATGCTTTTATATATGTTGGAAGCTGCCCAAAGTGGCTGGGGCAACCCAGTCAGATGGGTGGGGTATAAATAGTAACATTATTTTTGTTATTTTTATGAAATAGGACATCCCTATTCACATCAGAGATACACTGAATTGCTATGCTGAATCTACGCGAAAGCAAACCTTATGAACAGGTTCCAAACATGCACCCCTATAGTCACCCCATCGTCACAAAGTTGGTAAGGCTGGTTGTGTACCACTTGCAATGATGTGTACCAGAGGAAAGTCAATTGTGGTGGCACAACCTTCTTCTCTCAGGCTTGAGTGGTCTGTCTCATCCGCCTTGTAACTCTAATTCAGTTTCTGGTTATACTTGAAGAGGTAAAAAATATGTGAATGCTCCCAGATGAAACTCCAGGCAAAGGGCAAAGTTAAGAAAACCCTTGAGTAGTACCAGACCTGTGTCTCCTCCTCTAGTCCTAGTTACCAATGCTCACTGCTATTGTATGCAATTGTCATGTAATGCCTTTACTTAGGACTCATCTACACTCGTGGTTTCTAACGCTAAAAATGAGTTTTAAAAGGGTTATGATGTTCATAACCAGCAGCTAAAAAAGCCAATGCAATTCTGGGCCTCATCAATAGGAGTATAGCATCTAGATCAAGGGAAGTAATAGTGCCACTGTATTCTGCTCTGGTCAGACCTCACCTGGAGTACTGTGTCCAGTTCTGGGCACCACAGTTCAAGAAGGACACTGACAAACTGGAACGTGTCCAGAGGAGGGCAACCAAAATGGTCAAAGGCCTGGAAACGATGCCTTATGAGGAACGGCTAAGGGAGCTGGGCATGTTTAGCCTGGAGAAGAGGAGGTTAAGGGGTGATATGATAGCCATGTTCAAATATATAAAAGGATGTCACATAGAGGAGGGAGAAAGGTTGTTTTCTGCTGCTCCAGAGAAGCGGACACGGAGCAATGGATCCAAACTACAAGAAAGAAGATTCCACCTAAACATTAGGAAGAACTTCCTGACAGTAAGAGCTGTTTGACAGTGGAATTTGCTGCCAAGGAGTGTGGTGGAGTCTCCTTCTTTGGAGGTCTTTAAGCAGAGGCTTGACAACCATATGTCAGGAGTGCTCTGATGGTGTTTCCTGCTTGGCAGGGGGTTGGACTCGATGGCCCTTGTGGTCTCTTCCAACTCTATGATTCTATGATTCTATTCATATAGCCATAGAATGTTCTTTTAAAACATCAATAATGTTTTATTAAAATGTGACACCAGAGGACATGGAGTTCTCCCCGTGAAATAAGTAGGTAGACCCTGTAGAAAAGAAAGCGAAAGAGAAATCAAAAGCCTTCATATTTTAGAACTACAGTGGTACCTCTGGATATGAATGGGATCTGTTCCGGATCCCCATTCGCATCCTGAAGCGAACGTAACCCGCGTCTGCGCGGGTCGTAATTCGCCGCTTCCACGCATGCGCACGTCATTTTCCCCCGAGTTTTTTTTAATTGATTTTCCACATTTTTAAACAAACAAACAAACAAACAAACAAACAAACACAAATCATAACTAAACTTAGTCCAATATTAATATCATAGTTAAATGACTTCCTCAAATTCCCTTAACTGAATTTCATTATATATCATTGTAACGGTTTTCCAAAACAGTTTCTCATAAAATTAACTTCTTAACATCTTTGTCTCTTTTCATCTTAACTTTAAACATATTATTTTGTAATTTCACATATTTAAATCCTTAGCCTATCTGTTATTTTGCAAGTGTTTCTATTTAATTTATCTTAGCATATTTAGATAAATAGTCTTTGAATTTCTTCCATTCTTCCTGATGTTCCTCCTCCTTCTGGTCACGGATTCTTCCGGTCAGGTCGGCTAGCTCTGAAAAGTCCATCATCTCCATCTGTCATTCCTCCACTGTTGGTATTTCTTGTGTTTTCCCATTTTTGGCTAATAAAATTCGACCTGCAGTTGTGGCATACAAAAACAATCTAACATCTTTTTTGGGCAATTCCAAACCTATTATTCCAAGAAGAAAGGCCTCTGGTTTCTTAACAAATGACCATCTGCGCATGCGCGGGCGGCGTAACGCGTTCCGTTACTTCTGGGTCACCGTGGAGCGCAACCCAAAAGCGCTCAACCTGAAGCATATTTAACCTGAGGTATGACTGTATATCAAAAACAGTGTTCCAAGAACATTTTAAAGAGTATAGATCCAGCTTCAGTCTGGCAAATCTTTAAAGCAAGGCACACCTGCAAGTAGTGATGAGGTGGCCAGCAGCTAGTATTATTTACAAGGTGTGACCGGAAAGTTCAGTGAATGGTCACAGAAATCGGACAGCGAGAAATATTCAAACATACATACCTTGCAGGCCTTCAAAGTAGGCCCTCTCTGCACCTTTGACAACGTTTGTAGAACTGTTGGAAACATCTGGAGAAGTCCTCTTTTCATACTGCATTCAGTTCCCTCATCACAGCACCTTGGACGTGAAATGTTGCAAAATCTGTGCCGTTTCAGTGCAGATTTCAGTTTTGGAAAAAGAAAGAAATCTGGTGGGGCCAGATTGGGAGACTATGGAAGGCGGGACAAAACAGTAACCTCAATTACCAATTTGCCACCTTTCTGCTTGTCGACAGTCTGCCAGACCAAGGGTCATCTTTGATGGTTTGCCGCCCTTAACAGAAACACTTAAACCACTCATACACTGTCTTTCGAGTTACAGCTTCATCCCTGTACACATTTGTGAGCATTTCATGGGTTTCCGATGCCAATTGTATGTTCGAATATTTCTCGCTATCCGATTTCTGTGACCATTCACTGAACTTTCTGGTCACACCTTGTATTTAACCACATTAATATCCTGCCTTCCTTCTATCACAGAGCTCAAAGCAGCATTCATGGGTTCTCAGATGGTCTCTCATCTAGGCACTGACCATAGCCAGACCTGCTCTCCTTTCACAAGGTGGCTGCAACACAAACTTCAGGTCATGCCTACCAGTTCCTCCGTGCAGCAACCAGACTGGCTTTCTCCACCTCCGTGCTGGATCATCCCTCAGGATATAGATCCTGTCCGTACAGTGAACAGGTTTTGCTTTTAGGAGGCAATTCTGCAGCTAGCACCATGCAAATGGGTAAACAGATAGTCTATATTCACTGATCCCCTGCTGGGACTTGAAGGGTCCATGCATTTACTATTAGACCGGTTCTTGCTGCTATAAGCATCCTAGTTAGAAAATGAAATGCAGTTATTTGTTGCTCTGGCCATTACATTCATGATAGGTATTGTGTGAATTTTACCAGTCCAGCAAGCAGTAAAGGGGTTGCTATTTTCCCCCAATGTTTACTGATTCCACATGTCATGAAATCAATCCCAGGTGCTCCCTTGTTCATCAGTTATTATTTTACTAGATGTACCAGTACGCAGTTTTATTCATGACTGCATCACCGTTAGCACTGTGGGGTTCTGCGCTATTTTTTCCAGCAGAGCTGCCCATGTAATAAATGACAGGCCTCCCAGAGAGAGTCTGATTGGAATGCATCTCCTCTGTCCAAATCAGGCAGAGTGTAGGAAGCCGGCTCACACATCCTGCAGTGTGCAATCCATTCTTCCCGAGCAATTGCTCAAGTTTCCCTTGTCAGAAGCCAACCACCTGTGGTATCTGTTTGGAAAGTACATCTAAGTTTAGAGCAGTTGTAGGAGTGCACACCCTCTGAATGAGGAGGAAGAGCAAACAGTTCAGCTGCTTTGCAGAGTTAATTTAATTCAGTGCAAAGTCATTCCCCCTTCTGTTAACAAAAATAACATTTACCATCATAGGGGAGCACTTGAAAAAGGACTTCTTTTGCATTCTTAAGGTGTACCACGTGAAACTCTTGCCTCCGCAAGATAGGAGGGGTCCTTTTTCCATGCAAAGTGGCAACACAACCCCAGCTAGTTGTGTGTTTTAAAAAAGCAAGGCAGAGGCAGATCATAAAACAGAAACATCACAGAGGGAACGCCTGCCAGCCTTCTGTGGACATTCTCTTTGGCTGCCAGTCAAAGTCACTCACTGCTTGTTATAGTGCTAAGCTACTTGGATAGAGAATTTGTAAACGGCTCACCTGAAAACCAGACCGTGATACAGTACTTTAAAAGCATGGCTAATTAACACGCTTAGAACTGTCATCTTTTTATTTAGAAAAATGAGTTGCACTGGTGGTCAACCCAGATCTGAACAGGTGGGAGGGTTTAATGCTTTCCCACATCGAAATTTCCTGACAGTCACCCCCCCACTGCAATATCTCCTGCTGACAAAGAAATAATGTGTAGCTCTGATTTTCCATACCACCGCTCAGCCAACATTAAGAGTGCAATCCTATGTATATCAGTGGGACTTGCTCACAGGTTACACATGCATAGCACTGCAGCCTAAGCAAGCCTTTGGCTGTTGACATTGGATTTGGAAAGTCCATTTGCCACACAAACAGAGCAGTCCCGGGTTTTAAAAAAGTAAAACAAAAAATGGGCAGCCACAGAGGACGGATTACAACTGTGCAAAGCATATGGAGTTATTCTCTAAGCATTTACTGTGTAAACATGATGTTCATGATTGGAGCTCATTCTCGTTCTGAGCAACCTTAGCCTATAACAGTAGATGTTGGTACCAAAAGTGCTGCTCGCTGTCATTAACATTGCCAGGCAGCAGCCCACCCAGGTTGTTATTTATTTAAAATATTTTTAGCTTACCCTTCATAAAACTGCCTAGGGCAGGGAAACAACAACAACTCCTTCTAACTAACTAAACAATACACACAATGAAATAATTTCTCTCTACCAGAAGAGCAAATGCAAAATACTTCCTGCATGGTTGGGTACAGCTAATTGCCTGTAACTACAATCCTAACCCCACTTGCTTGTGTTATGAGTTGGGCGAGGTCATTCTAGATGATGTCCTGAGTCCCTTCCAGCTCTTGGAATCCTCTATCTGTAGACGTAGAGTGTATGAGAGCAAGCTTACCAAACTCGTCCCTTTGTCTAGGCAATGGCATTGGCTGACTAGTTAAGAACCATAATCAACATAAGCACAAAATTGGCCCGGTGTCATAAAAACGGGTGGTCCTCCCTCCCCTCCTTCACAGCTAACTGCTAGGTAGGAGAACAAAAGTCAGAGAGTTGTGTGTCAGCAAGCTGGAAACCAAAGCTGTGACTAATGGAGAAGGAAGATCTGCCCGGGCGTTAATGCTCTGGGCCCTTCCATCTTATGTTCCAGTTATATACATGTGTAAAAAAAACCCTATGTCCTAAATACACCACAGTCTCTGTCAACCTTCATTCTAAGGAATCAGAACCCCTGGGATCTCTTGCAACACAGAGAATGGAGTGGCATGTACCACCAGGGCGTAAGCCCTACTGAGTTCAATAGAACTTGCTCCTGAACAGACATGAGGATTGTGGAGTACAACTATCAAAAACACAGGCACCTAACATAATAGAGCATTGAGGAAAGGAAGTCTTTTTATAGGACCTTTCCTCTCTTCATACTGTTTGTGTGCTATTATATGTGCAGGAATCTCTTACAATCCAGTTTCACAAGTATCTCACAGGGGTTGTTGCAAACAGTGCAATACGAAGTATGTTTGCTCAGAAATAAGCCCCAAGTTCAACATAATTCATTAGGTGAGTTTAGGATCACTGCCTGAATTTCTGAGCGTAACCTTTTCCAGAGAATATGTGTGCTCATGGCAATTCCCCTCTGCAAATACAAGAACCAAATACAATCTTGGAAGGCGCTCATGTCTTTCACCTAACATGTAGATACAACATGCATAAAAAGACAAGATCTTTTTGACTGGATAGTACTGTCTCCATTGGAAGGTACTTTTAATTACAGTATATACACAATTTCCCTCTTCAGCACTTTACATAGTGGCAGCTCCAGAGGAGAAATGATCTTCCAAATGTACAAGGATTTAGCTGAACATCTACTGTATAGGGATTCGGGTTTTGCGAGCTGGGAAAAATTTTGTGAGCTGGACGGTATTTGGCTCCCTCTTGTGCTTTTTGTTTTTATGACACTTGCAATGTCCCAGCCTTCCTTCCCTGTGTTCCTTTGCCAGATGGCTATATGCTTCTTTAGTGAACAGCAGAGAAAAGAAGAGTCAAATTCACCCTTGGTGTAAAAGAGCATCACGAGCCATGTATCAATACAGACTAATTCTCCATATAGATTTTCCTGGTAGTTCCTCAAAGCAGACTAAAAATCATGGTGTTTCTCATAGTCATACAGAGTCATAGCAGGGGACAAATGCAGTTTTGTCTATTCCAGGGCCCTGAACAGCTCTAGACAGGTCTGGGAATCCCTGTACACCTTTTCCAGTGATGTCATGAGTAATATTAACTTGCAAATGCCCTCTATAGGGAACAGATGCAGGCAGTTGAGAGAAGATGCATTTTCTTCCTGGGGGGAAAAATCCCCATCATATTTAAGTCCCTGCAAATGCTCTGGGCCTTTTGATTTTATTGTGCTGGTTAATTGCATATCAGGCCAGTCACATTCCTTTTCAATTGGAATCTTGATTGGAACCAATTCACACATGCAATTCATCACCATCACATATTTTGAGTGCCTAAATTTCAAATCAGAAACTTTTTTTTCCTGGAGACTTACTCTATAAACGAGAGGCAGGGTGGCTGGGTGGAGACCCATATCCAGCTCCTCAACAATTTCCCTTGAAATGACCTCCCAGCAAATCCCTTTAGTAAAACAGCACGTCCCTCCACATTTCTTTCAGTTCTGGATTAGCAGTCGGGAAAAGGGAAGGGGCAGAGCAAAAGCCTTCCTTTAAAAGGCTAGAAGAGACCGCTGCCTGAAAACCCTGCAGAGCTCTTGCCAGTGTTGATAACTCTGGCCTGCATGAACCAATGATCAGATACTGAGACAGCTACTTATGTTGTTGAAACTCCCATCACTACCCATGAACATGGCCAACACTCAGGATGGTAGGAGCTGTAACCTTAGCGACAAGGGAGAGGGGTCCGTGGGCTAACCACCCCTGCGCTATAAAACTCATGGTATGAGAGATACAGCTCCAGTTTTGTTTAACTGTCGATGCACAAAAAGGACTAACGTGAAACAAATTGACCAACAGAGCCAGCTTTAATCCGGTGATACTTTACTATATACATCATGAAGAAATCTCTTGTTTCCAGGTCTCATTGTCAAACACAGAAAACAGCTTCAGCTGTCCACACTAAACTATGACATCACCTTCTATATAACAGGACCACTGAAGAAAGCTCTCAAGTGAGCAGGAACTTGCTGAGAATGATGGGTCGTTTTGACCAGAGAAAAAGGCTAGGAGGAAACAAAAACTTTCAGAAAGCAAAACCGCTCTATTAAGTAGTGTGTTGAAATCCTGAGGGAGACACTGAAAAGGTCACATCTAGACTAAAAAACCCACAAACTGCTAAACTGTTCTACTTTCAGCTTTTCCATTAGGCAGCAGCTGTCCTTTCACTGTTACTGTCAATATGTTTCAGCTCACGTTATTGTCAGTGTAGAACTAGCCATTATGGTCAACATAGTACTTCTACCAAAAAACAAGCCTTGTGTAAAGTTTTCACTTTTCCTTATCGCCACTTGCCCTGTGCCATTTTACCACTTCTGTTGACCACTGATGTGGAAACGGACGATACAACAACAACACAACACTACCAAGTGTGCATAAAATGTTACAAGCAGAGAACACAACAGAAGGTTGCCATTTTTGGTGGCAGCTCCTGTGCTGAACAGAAAATCTAGGTCTGCCCTCAAGAGATCAAAATAACCAGCTGCCTATCTCCAAGGTTCTCTGGGGACATTTCCCATCATTTTATTTACTTGTCTTGCAAACTCATAAATGTCTAAGGAGGATCCTATAATATCAATGTAAGTTGGGTATAGTAGAACCAGAACGTTTGGATACTGGCTCCTTAACATCTCACATGCACGCTCACGTCTCCGCTTCTCAGAGTTGTTGGACATTTCATGTGACAATCTTTCTTTACGCAGAAAGCCATATAATTCTGCCAACAAGCCTTCAACCCTATCTTTTGCACATCTTAACGGTCTGGAACCTGGTTCTGTTTTGCCACTCTTTAGATATATGGTGGTGACCTCCCCATCTTCAGCTGCATAACTAGTAACACCACATTCTTTTAGAATCCTTTGGTAAAACTCGTCTCTAAATGTTATCATGTAGAGATATGTATCGGTGTCAAGGGCAACAGTTAGTCCCTCCTCCTTGCTTTCATTTCGCACAAAATTATTTTTCAGCTCTGAGGATAATCCACTGTTTGCCTGTCTTGTACCAGGCCTGTGATCTGATGCTTTCAGATTTCTTGCAACATGTTGTTCTGAAAGGGAATGCTTTATGTTTAATAAGATATTCTTTTGGAGGGCACTGATGGCTAAAAATGGACCCTGTACACTTATTAGCCCGTTAGATTGTAATGGCCCAAAGCTCAAATTTGGGAACTTCTTCTTGAAGTCTTGCACCAGACTTTCCAAGTGGTATTTCTCTCCAAATGGGGACAAATTGAGGATGCATGTCACGCAGGTAAAAATCTAGAGAGAGAGAGAGAGAGAGAGAGAGAGAGAGAGAGAGAGAGATCATAACTGAAAGGCAACACTAGACTTTTAGGTTACAGGCACCTGTGTGCGTTTCTTTACACTGATGCCTTATTACACTTAAGACGAGCCCTGCTGGATCCGATGACTGCCCTATCTAGTCCAGAAGCACTGTTCTCACAGTGCCCAACTAGATGTCATGGGAAGCCCAAAACAAGAACCTAAGTGCTACAACACTCTACCCACTTGTGGTTCCCAGGCATTCGGGGACAAACACTGCCTGACATCGGGAGGTAGAACATAGCCATTATGGTCAGTAGCCATTGATAATCTACTCATCACTCCCATCGCTCAACTCCTCAGTTGCCCCTTCTCTGTGAAACATTAGACTGTAAGTTCTATGGAGAACAGATCTACTGTTATCATTATTTACACAATGACGTGAACATTCACTGTGCTGTATTGTTATCTCAGCTGAAATTTAACAAAGAGCAATGGTCCTGACAAAAAAGAGCTCCTTGGTGACACCTGCCACTTCACAACTTCCCCCACGCCCCCATTTCTCTCTCTCTATGTATGTGCATGTTTTTATTTAGCGTTAAGTCAGTTGGAGACCTTCAAGTGAGACGTGACTAACAAGTTTCACAAATAAATAAAATAAACAACTGCAAGGCTGGAGATTCTAAGAAGAAGAAGAAAAGTCGAGCTGGGGTAACTTACACTTTTTCCATATGACGACACTTTCAAGGGATAACCCACAGGCAGCCTCTTGTCCTCTAGGCAGTGGTCACCTTTCCTGAGAACATTTTCTGCATCTGAGAAGGAATTCAGATTTTGTCTTGTAGAAAGAAGTAAAAGTCAGAATGCTTTGTTGCCAACCCAATTCCCGAAATACCTCGATTTTGGGGGAGGAAGGGGGGGTCCCTCTCATTGGTAGTTTTCCTCTGGGATTCCTTCCCCCGCCCCCAGTGTTCGATACTTGTCTCCCGATACTTTTTTTGCACCACGCAAAAATTGTTCCGAGGAGAATGACGGCAGCCTGTCTCTTTAGAAGATTAATTGGCAGCAATTTTACTCCCCCCGAGGCTTAGCTGCAATTTTTTCATCTGCCAGGCAGCGTACTATACGTTTCATTCTTGTGCGAGTAGTTTAAAACACCCACGCAAATGCTCTCTCTCTAAAGCCTCGCTGCATTTATGTGTCTGACGAATGGCAGGCAACCTTATACACTGTGAGAGGTTTCAAACCCAGAGTACGCCGAGCCAAGACGTCAAGAACGCAGGAGTTTTACAGAGCAAGAATTCCGCTTTACGGTTAAGGACCCAAAATTCTAATTTCCTTCCTCTGACATTACCTCGTTCATCTTCAAATGTTACATATGCCACTCCTTTTGTTGATGTCGGGTAGGCAACATCCTCCACATCGCCACCCTTATTCTTTCCCTTTTGAAAATGAATCATTAATATGTCGGCCATGACGTCGTCACTTAGGAGGCCATCTGGAACACCGCAGACCACAATGGTTCTTTTTGGCTTGGCAGCTTGTGCGGTGGCCTATGAAGAAACGCAAGAGACACTGAAAGCGACAGGTCTGCGCCCCACCCCCCTTCAGATTGTCACTAAGGAGGGGTTCAGTCGCATCCACTGCCAAATTTAAGTTTGCCCAATTAAAGTGGATGGAAGTGGTGTGGTGCAACAAACACACTCAAACACAAAGGGTGGGATTCAACATAGCTCTAAGGAGAGTGCTCCATTGGTGCAAGCTTGCTTGACTGAACAATCACTCCGTCACATGCTGGTCTGCAGGTTCTCCTGAACCCCCAAGCAAATTTGGGGGAGACTGTGGGATGAGGATGGGAGTCTTATTGTGCTATCAGGAGTCCTCGTCCGGGCTTTCGTTAATGGAACTAGGGAGGACTACATGCAATAAGGGTAGCGACAAACAGCTGTTCTAGAAAGTGTGGGATAACAATTGATTGATGAGAAGGCGTATAACCTCCATCCAAAGAAATCAGGATGAATGCTGTATAAACAGCAAGTGTATTCTTATTATTCATTTGATTCAATTCAGCCCCCACCTCTGTAAAGTGGCATAGCGATGCTTGTAAATTTGTGATGCCATAGTACTTAATTTTTTTAAAAAGAGGGGATTTTTACAGGCCTTTTAATACAGAAAGTACAAACTGCTGAGGAAATTGTATTGCTCGTATTGTTGACATGAAACGGATGTTGTGCTTTAAAGAAACATAAAATAAAACAAAATAATTAACACTCACTCCCGCTATAGACTTCATTCCATGAAATACCGAAACACAAGTGTCTCACTGTTCTGCACACATAAAATTTTCCTCAGAACTGCCTTTTGGCCTAATTCCTATTCAGAAAAAAAAAATTGTTCTCATCAGTTCCAAAAAAAACAGTCCATAGGACTGAGGTCCAGCGCCGAGGGCCTTCTGGCGGTTCCCTCACTGCGAGAAGTGAAGTTTCAGGGAAACAGGCAGAGGGCCTTCTCAGTAGTGGCTCCTACCCTGTGGAATGCCCTCCCATCAGATGTTTAGAAGACATCTGAAGGCAGCCCAGTTTAGGGAAGTTTTTTTTAAAAAATGACTGATGTTTTAATATCTTTTTAATCTTCTGTTGGAAGCCACCCAGGGTGGCTGGGGAAACCCAGCCAGATGGGCGGGGTATAAGTAATAAATTATTATTATTATTATTATTATTATTATTATTATTATTATTGTAGCCATGAAACAGAATGGTCTCACTCTGCAAGAGTAGCACATAGTTTCAACACTGAATGAACTAATCCCTGGCTACTTTTCTAAAATGTGTACCTACCGGCTGCTTTTCTACCCAAAGGCATCAAACAAACCAATTGAAAACCATGATGAAATAAAACAGTCTTTAGAGATGATGAGGATGATGATGAGGATGATAAAACTATGGTGATGAAGATCTCTCACGTTGGGTGTGGAGTTTCACAGCCTAGGCAACACTATAGGCCTTACTCTATAATAGAAAATTGTACCTCAGACACTAAACAGACACCAAATACTTGGTTGGTTTGCAAAGGGGAGTCAGATTATATTATTATTATTATTATTATTATTATTATTATTATTATTATTTTAAAAGCAGTAAATCTCACCATTCCCCATCAGGAGTGACATGGCTTTAGTATGTATGGAGTAGCAGATCATTTTGCACATAATTTGGTGTGCCAGTGTTAAGACGATGATAGGAAGAACTGTCAATAATTGCTGACATCTTGCAACCTAAGCTAGCTTTGCATCAAATCTCTGTACAATGCACTTAATGTCTATTCCTTGGGTTACTGCTTCAGAAAGGAGACAGGGCAGCGCAGTTGTGCTACAGCCTGCAAGCACTGCTGTAGGAGGGTTCTTTTTTAAAAAAATATATTATAAAATGACAAGAAATCAGAACTATGATTACCATCACTGTCTCCTATTTCTAAAAGGAGTGAAGAAGCAGACTCAAACGGACAGCTCAGCAACCTTATCCGCAAACTTTTAATCCAAGACGACGCAAGGACTATTTTTAACACGCTTCATGCTAAATATCCCTTTCTCCTAAAGGACTGCAGAATGAACCGAATCTTCTTTATCGTGTGCTTGCAGAATGCACAAAAAAGTATGCATTTCCTACAAAAGGGACACAAAACCTTTGATTCCGGAGTGTGCTAAAGCTACCCAGTATTAGAAGCGCTGGGAAAGGAAGCAGATTTATTTTTTTAATCACAGGTTTTTATGGGCATTTCCTTTCCATACCCTAAAACCCCCTCCTAGAAAAATAGCTTTCCCTCTTCCCCCACTGTTGTTGTCTGGCAGCTGACAGAAGAAAATTGGGCTGCTTTTAATTTTTCCCTCTCTGAGAAATATATTGATACCAGTCAGAAAACCAGGGTGTGGGGAGGGAGGCCAAGGTGAATGCTAGAAACGGCTGTAATCAATTGCTGTTGTTGTCATCCATCTGTCTCAAGAGACTATGGAGTCCGCTTCCAGGGGTGAAGTCAAGCCACTGTGTTAGCAGCTTCAAAGTGACCTACCTGGGGCCACAGGTGAGAGCTGAGTGCAGGGTGGGAACCAAAGGTGGTCGGACCAACTGCCCCCACCAGAGGTACTACCCCTACCCATATATACCCTGGGTTTTCAAATAAAGCTAGCATATTCCACACATAGGTTTGTTTCTCCTGCAATATCTTGATGCCTGGCATGCATCTTGATGCCTGGCATGCATCCAGGGGTCTTCCAGCCTTTTACTGGCTTTCTATTGAAAGTCTTCATACCTGGGGGGCGGGGGAGCAGCAGAAAAATTCCTTTCTCACCTCTCCATGTAGCTCATGTGCTTGGGCACACAAGTTGAGCACAAAAAGTCTACAGTGGTATCTCTGGTTGCGAACGGGATCCATTCCGGAGGCCCGTTCACAACATGAAAAGAGCGCAACCCGCAGCGGCGCGCCTGCACACGCGCAGGTTGCGATTCGCCGCTTCTGCACATGCGCGTGATGTCATTTTGTGCTTCTGTGCATGCGCGAGCGGCAAAACCCGGAAGTAACCCTTTCCAGTACTTCTGGGTCGCCGCGGGACGTAACCTGAAAGAACGTAACATGAAGCGGACGTAACATGAGGTATGACTGTAATGCCAAGACCAGCAAACTCCCTCCCTCCCAACACCTCCTTGACCCTCCACCTCCATGCGGTGGCCCAGATGGCTCAATGACACGTTCTCTGCATCTCTGGCCCCATCCCTTACCTTGGGAATGATGAAAGGTAAAAGGAAAGAAGGAAGGAAAGGTGGACAGACAAACGGACGGAAGGACGGAACCCCTTCGGATCATACCAGAGGACTCGGGTCAGTCATACTCAGAGCTGGCAATCCTTAAAGTCAGAAAAGCCAGAGAGATAGGGAAAACTAGTCTGCCAGGCTTGACATACCCACCATATCCATTCTCTCTCCAATAAGCAAGCAAAACTCTACAATGGAGTGCACATACATTCCAGTGCAAACTCTGACAAGATTTACTGCCACTAACCATCAAAACCTACACAAGTGCAGGAATATATATGAAAAGCCAAAAAATAAGCCAGGGCACATTTGAGGCAAAATAAAAATAAAAAATCAAATCTATAGCCAGACTGGTTCTACATGTCAACACCTCTCCTCCTATTACTATGCTTATCCTTTAAAAAAGTATATTTAAAAAACAAACAAAAAAACAAACACTGGATACCCTCCTAAAATTGATGAATCCTTGAGCTGAAGAAAGAATGCAAAACAAGTTAAAGAGTGATGAGAAACACGAAGGAAAGTTTTTGGAGCTTTCTTGAGGCAATGTAAATGAAGTGCAATAGCTCTTCAATGAGGATATTCTAGGTGGAATGAAATGCCCTGCTTACCATATACTGTGCCCTCCAAACTTCCCATGTGGCAGCTCTAATCTTATAAAGAGGCATAAGCAGTAGCAGTTATCTGTAGCCAACAGTCACGCAGTAAAATTAGTATTAGCATTGCCATGCAGTTTGTCCTTTGGGTTACTTACACAGCTGGATAATGCAAATGATCCACTCTCTGCAGAGTTTGATCCAATATGCTGGAAACCTTTAAGATTGATTGCTGGTTTCTGCTCTCTCTAAGTATATGTCTGCATTAGCTGTGCTTCATGGAATCTGTACCCATAAGTACCACAAGTAGCTTGTACCGTCCACACATCATCCTACATCCTTTCCCCACTTGCGTCCAACTCATTTTTGTGGAAAAGTACCTCAATGACCAGGAATTAACTCCCATGCAACCAGTGTTCGAAACTCCCATTGTTCTAGACGTGTTTCGCAACAGGGAATTTCATTAGTGCAAGCGGTTTCTGAGCTCTGGGCGCAGTACTGAGCCTACGTTTTCAGATTAAAACTGCAGAGTGGAAGGAAAGGAGGACTTTTTTCTGCCTCCCCACTTCCAGCTACTCTCTGAAGACCGGAGAAGAGACCCTCTTAAGAAAATTAGAGGAGTGGGCAGGGAAAGGACTAGACCTTGTGAAAAATGAGCATAATATTTTAGCTGCAGTTCATTCATTTTCAGCTTTGTATTCTTGTGCGCCTAGACATTCTGTTGTTGCACCCATAACCTAGGTTTAAGGTGCCATTTAGTTCCTAGCTTTCATATCTAACACCGCATGCAATGGAAGTCTTAACATTCCACAATGCCCTTCATCTTGGTTATCTTCCAAGATTCCTCGCCCAGATTTTTTTCCCCCATCCCTAACAATAGAAATTTATTTCTCTCTCACAATCCAGATACTTCTTGGTTATCAGAACTGGAGCATACCTGCACACCTTTTCGGGGCGGGGGGAGGTGAGGAAGCACATTGCAGCAACGTTACCTAAGTATGCAAGAATGCAGAAACACAACTACGTATATATATATATATATATATATATATATATATTTAAATGACTGCCCAGCGGGTCAGTGAGGGGCCTGAGAATAGGAAGCATCTATGTACAGGAAAAGCATGCGGAGCAGAAGGCAACCAGGGGCAACCCCGAAAACAAAGGACTGCAACAAACTGCCTTGTTGGTTATTGCTCTTACATACGCAGGCCACTGTGAGAATCTTTTTCCACTGAAAGCAAGGGAACGACAAAGGGATGCTGGTAGCAACTGGGATGCAGTGGTTAGCTTGCTGGGACTGGCTGCTGGAAACCCAGGTTCAAATTTCCACTCAGCAATTAAACTCACTGAATTGCTTTGGACAATGCACCATCTCTCAACCTAACCTACTACACAGTGTGGCTGTGGGGCTACACCACTCTTGAGTTAGTTGGAGAAAGTGTGAGATTCAAATGTGATTACTAACTCGTCACCGTTGCCATTAGCCTAAAGTTCATCAGTGATGAAGGGAAATTGTTCACTGCATCCTTTATTGCCATCCATCAGAGACAGAAAGGGGGAGGTAAGGCGGCCAGGTTGCCTATGCTTCATTTCAACTCTCTTAATTTAGGTCACTTCCGGATGTGCTTATTTACCATTCAATCTGATCAGGTTGACTAAAATTTGCAAGGAGGTTAAACGATGTCAGCTGACTTGTTTGCAGAGAGGTAAGATGTTGAATCAAGCTATTATGATTGATATTATTAATAAAATTTGTATACCGCTCTATACCTGAATGTCTCAAGCAACTGTTACCACACATCACCTATTTCCCCATCTATTACCTTATTGCAAACAGCCCAGTTTTTCCTTAACAGTGCAGCCTTGAATTTGCTAATATGTGTCTGAGAATGCCCACTGGTAAAAAAAACAACTTCTTTTTTGTTGTTGCTATTGTTAAACAATTGGGAGTCAGAAACCAATCTACTGAAAATCCCTGCAGATACTTATCTAGCTTCTGCACGCTCCTGCTCAAAGGGCCCTCAACTTATGTCCATAGTTTTATTGCAGTGCTTTCCAAGCCAACCTGGTACTGGAGATGGATATATCTTTTAAAACCTTTTTGGATAAGCCAAGGACAGAAATATATGCAATGGTCTTTTGATGCATCATGCTAGTGAAAAACCAAGCGATACTGATCACAAACAGTTGCTAAGGTAGCTAAAGGCGCCTATCAAATTACCAGAGGCAATGCATGAAACCAAAAGAGGCCCATTAAACAAAGTTTCCTGAGTGCACGTCATAAAAACATGGAGCTCAAGAGCTCCTGGAAAAAATAAGTTTGTCAACAATCTAGGTTTAAAATTAGTTTATGCAGATGCAGATTATCATTCTATTGCGTCTAAGGTGTGATTTAAAAAAACCAAACCCAAGCATTTGCTAAGATGGAACATACTCCGCCACTGGAGATCTCCCACTGGCGAACTAATGCCAGTGTAGTGGAAGAAGCAAAGATCACCAGTGTTGAAGTAATGATTCTTCAACATCCACTTCGTTGGACTTGTGCGGATGCCCGATTATCGTCTTCCAAAGCAACTACTCTATTCCGAACTTAAAAATGGAAAGCGTAATGGTCAACAAAAGAGGTTTAAAGACTCTTTCAAGGCAAATCTAAAAAAATGTAGTATAAACACTGAAAATTGGGAAACACGGGCACAGAACCTGTTTGGCCATTTGGTGTAACTACAGAGGAAGGGAAATATCGGAGGGCGCTAGAGACGCGACTACTCCACCCCGGGGAAACGCTCCTGGTTCGGCGTCTTTCCAAAGAGCCATCATCTCTAGGGAGCTTCAGAAGACCCAGCATTTGCTCCACGAATCCCCGTCAGCAAGGCAGATATAAAAAGGCAACGCTCGATCACTTGCCATAGTCGCGCAGATCTCGCTTCGCGAAGCGTTCCTCCTGGAAGAAGCGACGCTAAAACATTTGCTTTCGTTTCTGTCGAGTGTTTCCCTGAACACTTGGAAGGCGGGCTGGCAGAGTGCATGCTGGGAAGTGTAGTTCGTTCCAGTTAGACGAGAGAGGCATTACGCAACTTTGTCTAGGCGGGGCAGAGAGGCGTCGAGAAGCCCTCGCTCGCTTTTTTGTATTAAATGAGGGAACCGAAGGGTCTCGTGCTTTCGTTGAAAGGAAAAGAAGAGACGAGGGAAGCATTCGTTGCCTATCGGCGTCTTCTTTTGATTTATAAATGTGAATAAATGAATAAACTTCATTTAATTCTCATTTAATCTTCCAAGAGCTGGTTAGCTCATGCTGCTGATAACACGCAAGGATGCAGATTTCTGTCCCCGTATGGTACAGTTGCATATTCCTGCATTGCAGGGGGTTGGATAGAAGATCCCGTGTTGATCCCTTCCAACTCTGCAATTCTAGGGTACTTTTGCAGTCTCGTCTAGTCTGTCAGGAAGAAATCCAAGCAGCCAAGCTTTTTCCATTACTGCATGCACAGAAAAGTTCTTAAAATACTTCACTGCATGACCCATTTCTGTTCCACATCTTTTAATTCGAGGTGGGAGGTGGGCATCAGTTTAACATATCCCAGTAATTCTCTCGGTAAAGGTAAAGGGACCCGACCATTAGGTCCAGTCGTGGCCAACTCGGGTTGCAGCGCTCATCTCGCTTTATTGGCCGAGGGAGCCGGAGTACAGTTTCCGGTTCATGTGGCCAGCATGACTAAGCCGCTTCAGGCGAACCAGAGCAGTGCATGGAAACACAGTTTACCTTCCCGCCGGAGCGGTACCTATTTATCTACTTGCACTTTGACGTGATAGGTTGGCAGGAGCAGGGACCGAGCAACGGGAGCTCACCCAGTCACGGGAATTCGAACCGCCAACCTTCTGATCGGGAAGCCCTAGGCTCTGTGGTTTAACCCACAGCACCACCCACGTCCCTTAATTCTCTCTGTGGTCCACTTCAAATGTTATTTAATAAAAGCTTCAAAGGTTTGTTCCTCTGGAAATACTTTTTTTTTTTAATGCAAAACTGGAATAGGAATAACAACAACTGTGGGAATGTTAAGCAAGAGGTATTAAACATTAAGTATTAAGAGATGAATTGGAGCAATGTTTTGAGAGCGCAATTCTAATCTGTAGGTCTACTGGCTGGGGCAGGACTAGATTTGACAGAAGGGTCTCCTCATCATAAAAGACCCCAGCATGCCCACAAGAAGCTCCTTATTCTAGGAGAGACAGGGTGGGTGGGTGTGTTGTGGACCCCCTGGATCCAAAACTCCTTCGTTCTCCACAAGAAGTCCCAAGACTGAGTCTATCAAGCCAGTTTCCCTCATGCACAAACTCAGCCTAACCTACCGCACAGGGTTGTTGAAAAGGTAAAATGGGCAGGGGGAGAACTACTGACATCACCTCAAGCTCCTTGGAGATTTTAAATGTTAACAAAATAGACATCAGCAGCAAGGAATGGCCTCGGAAAGACAGGAAATGCTCTCAGACCCCAGGGAATTATTCAGCACACAATGCGATCAAAACACGGCTCAAGCAAAAGTGTGGATGAGAACCCTTATCGTATAGTTAGCATTTGCAGAACATAACTTGTAGGAAGTACCTTCTCTCAGGCAAAAACCACCAGAGGAAAGATGTGTATTGGTTGTTAAGATGAAAGAAAGGGATTTCAAGGACTAGAAAAACGAAGCAAGCAGAAAAAGTGCAGTAAAGGGAAGAGAGAAACAGTTCTTTAGGACCCCAGGAGTTCCTATAGTCTGGGGCCCAAGGAACTCGCGCATCCATCAAAAACATTGGCTAAAAACATTGGAAGGCAGTGGCGGCCATGTTGACTTATTCCTTTATGATTTTATACCTCAGTTGGGCTTTACTCAGACTTTGGCTGTTTGGATTATCCTTTGCAAATGAAAGTTATTCTGACAATGATTTGTAATTTAATTGGATTCTGCTTTCTACATGTATCCTATTGCAGGTAATGTATTTGAAACACACACCTTATCATATCACATATATCATATGTGAATACACACACGAACACACACACACAAATAAATAAATAAATAAATAATAAACTAATGCAGTCCCAGGTTCATTTAATTAGATTTTAGGAAGAAAGAAAGCACTAGACATATATTCGAAACACACCAATTTATTATGAGCACTTATATCGTATCAACCATAACAGCAATCTAGGATCCAATATTAGCTATCTGCAATGAACCTTCTACTCTAAAGACTTAGTATATAATCAATTTCCTGAGATTGTAAAGGACTCGTGGTCATCTTATATCAGCCCTCATCTCTGTGGTGCTAAGATCAATCAGTGCTTGCCTAGTGATGCCTTCTTTACAGTCTGATGAACATAGGCAGCAAACCAATGCACACTTATTTCAGAGTAAACCCCATTTAAAACAGTGAGAGTTACTTTTAAGTAAACCTGCCTAGATAGGATTGCACTGTTTGTCATTACTTTTGCTGGATCAGAGGAGAACCTTCCTATCTGTGAAAAATGACTTTTGATTTAGAAAAAAAGCAGGCACACCATCCAGTGTAATAAAATAAAATACAGAGCATGTTTATTGTTCTATGAAGCCCTTGGCAGAATGGAAAGTCGAGTTCAACTTCATTCACTGTCATATAACATTCTCTGTATCATTCTCAAAGTAAGTGACTTTGGCTCCTTGTGAAACAAATTTGACATTTTCCACTTCACCGCCACCATTTCTAGGTTTCTGAAAGTGGATCGCAATCATATCTTGCACACTTTCATCATCCTCATCCTTTTCTGCCTTGATTCCTGTTAGCAGTATGGTTCTCCTGGAAATCCCTGAATATATCTGTCAAAAGAAAAACACACCACATCTTGTGACTACAAATCACTTTAAGGAATATATAAATTGGTGGAGTGAAAATGCTGGTATTAGCAGGTCATGTGTTCCTTCCCTTTTCTGATGTTTTTAAACAAACTATAAATCTGTACTTTTGGCTAAAATCCTAACCATGTCTGCTCAGAAGTAAGTCCCACTTAATTCAGTGGGGCTTACTCCCAGTTATGCAGGCAAAACCTTTAGGCTTTAGTCCTTAAGAGCCAAGATAGTCACTTTAGATGCTCTTTGCTCTAAGCATACTTTCATTAGTTTTAAAATGTAAGTAGTGCCTCTGTGGGAGTGTTTATTTACTAGGTTTAACCTGCCGCCCTCCACCTGCCTTGGTCCAGACAAAAATTATTCTTCTGAAGCTATTTGGACTGGGAGGAAAGTACCCATTGATGAAAAAAATATATATATTTTGTCTTTTTTGAGTGCTGCAAGTAATGCCTGTGTGTCTAATTTTAAAGGTAAACCAATTGTTGTCCTGCAGGGTTGCTAACTAGCCAGAATAAAATGTACTTACACCTTTTGGCTGCTTGTTAAAAATGGCAACCTAATTCTGTTAGGAAAAATCAGTAGTAGGGCCTTGGTGAAATCACTAAAAGCAGAAGAGGAAAAAAATGTGCCAGACCAAGAATCATGAAAGTGCCTTTTAGGTTCTGGATGGCGTGTCATATGCACTTCCTTATATTCGCACACGTGATGTTGAGGATCTCAAACATAGCGTGGCAATGTTGCTAAAATCCGAGGGTCTCTATGCTCGCTTCTCAGAAAGCTTCTAAGCTCTTAATTCTCACTCCCCATTACTGGACACCACAGCCTCTTTGTGTTAAGTTCTGTGAAGAAAAGCATTCTCTGGAAAGTGAATGTAGGTTTTAACGATTATGATTAAAATTACAAATCACAGTTACCTGGAAGTAAGTGCCACTGAACTGAGTAGGACTTACTTGCTAGTAAAGACTGGGATCGTGGCACAATACTTGCAAGTCTCCGTTCACTTACTAACTGCAATCAACCCCATGGGTATGATCCATTTACCTGAAATCTATTCAAAGTCTTCTCTATGATAGGAGAAACCAGGACAAAATGAGTCCTTTCACCTGTGCGGAAAGGGCATTTTCCATATCTCACAATGTTGTTAGCAGCTAGGAGAGAAAAACAGTAGAAATGTAATGAAGAAATACAGTTTATTCCAAGTACTGAACTTCAGGGGCAGGGGGAGGGGGAGAAAACCCTATTGTTTCCATACAGAATAAAATCCCAAACTTGCAAATTAATATTTTAATAGGTACTTTAATTGGGCAACCAGTATTGATGACAAATATTGTAACCGTATGTATATTTACCTGGGATTGAGCATACTAAGACTGTAAGATAAACGTAATGATTAAATGTTCCATTACGAGGCACCATTAGTGAACTGCTAGTCATGTCTACTCAAAAGAAGGCCCCTAAATTCAATGGGACTTGATCTTAGGTTCAGTGTGAATACGACTGCAGCCTAAAATCGGAAGGAACAAGGGTAGCCAGAAAGTGATGCTATACTAACAGTTGTGTAGAATAAGGAATATCACAAAGATATTCAGGGACAAGCAATAACTGCTGGCATTCCTGCTTCTAAACCATTATTAAAGATGTAGGAGCACATATCTCCTTGTATTATTTGGCCACCCTGCTAGGAAATGTGCCCAAGAAGGACACAACAATTCAAACAGCACTCTATAAACATGCCAAGACGTACTTCTGAGTGAACATATATCTTTTTATTATTCATTTCTAACAGTTTCTAGCACATCTGGGGTATAAACACCCCCCTTGTTTACAGTAATATTAAAACCAAGCATCGTTTTTTAAATGGTTACTGCTAGGCCAGAGGTTAAAAATGTGTACAACTGCACTGCTGAATAAGAAAGATGTAAAATGGAATGCACATCTGCTTTTTCTTTTCTAGAATGAATAAAAAACATTCACCAGTGCAGAAGAATGTGGTTTGGAACTGAATGCATTTCAGGTAACATTGCTAGATATCCTTTTTATTCTTAAGGCTGCAATCCTATATGAATGTGGTAGGGAATATCAGTTGAACTAAATAGGGCTACTTCTAAGTAATCCTGCAATAGACTGTGTTATAAGTCTACCAGTGGGGGGAGACAGGAGATAGTACTTGGTGTCAATGCATCTTAGATCAGTTTTGCAACAACCATATGATGCTCAAATCTGCAGTCAACTGAACAATGTCGAAGTAAAAGCAATGCACTTAGAAGGGGATCTGATTCTGTAAAGTTAACTTGCACAATGCTTCAGAAATCACCTATTGGCTGGCCAAATGTAACGAGGGCCATCTGGGACTGCTGGTCATAGGTCACATTCTGCACTTCTCCTCCCAGTTTAGCTTTGTACAAATTCAGTTCCAATTTATCTCTCATCCATTCCGGAGGGATGTTTAGGTATGGGATGTTAGAAACATTAATCTGCTTTCTAGAGATCTTAGCATGGAGCTGCAAAACAATCCAAAATTACAGGTGTGAAATAAAATCCAGAACTGTAGCCATGTTCATTTATAGAAGCAAAAAGGCCAAAACATATCATGACCATAGCATGGGTTTCATTGGCAAGAACACACTTCCTATCAGCTACATCATGAGTGGCAGAAGGTTGCAGAACTTATACTTGTTACCAAACATCATTGTGACTATCAGGTGTTAAATACATTTCTCACATATCAAGCTAAGAAGGCTGTAAGTAAATAGGTCCAATATTTTGCTTCACTAGAGTATACTATGCAAAAAAAAATGTTAAAAGATTTGGGCTGTAATCCTACACAGTGGTACCTCTGGTTGCGAAGGGGATCCGTTCCGGAGCCCCATTTGCATCCTAAAATGAATGCAACCCGCGTCTGCGCATGCGCAGGTCGCGATTTGCCGCTTCTGCGCAGGCATGTGACGTCCTTTTGCGCGTCTGTGCATGCATGAGTGGCAAAACCCAGAAGTAACCCTTTCTGGTACTTCCGGGTCACCGCAGGATGCAACCTGAAAACACGCAACCTGATGCAAATGTAACATGAGGTATGACTGTATTTGCTTCTGTAGGAGTAAGTAACATTGAACTCAATTGTGATTACTTCTAAGCAGTCATATACAGGTCTGCAATGTATATGATACAACCTGATTCTGTGGAAGATTTATTCAAATACAAGTCCTGAGAGATGTGCAGAGAGAAAAAAATGAAAATTCACTGAGATTTAAAAAAAACACCACATTTTACAATTATCCTTTAAAAAACAGAAGGGAGGGAACAGACATTTCTCATTAATGTTCCTGTTTCCCCCAGGCCTTCATATTTCTGAAAGTCCAAGTTCAAAAAGATTTACCCCTTAGTAACTCTGGAGGCAGTGGAAGACAGAAGTGCCTGGAGTGCTCTGGTCCATGGGGTCACGAAGAGTCGGACACGACTAAACGACTAAACAACAACAAACTCTGTATAGAATTGCAACCACCAACAAAACTTTTGTTTCAGAGTTCAACTCACCAACACATAACACTTAAAAACCATGGTCACTGACTTACCTCAAATGTTACTCCCCTCTCCAGGATAACAGGCAGAGCTTTCATAGATATCATCTTACTTTCAAAGTTCACATTATGGCAGTGTTTTTGGATCAGTCCCTGGGCAACTGAAGGACAGCATGTTAATAGTTTTCCATAACCAAATATAAAACTAAGGAACAAATTCATACATAAAAATTGGCCATATATACATTTGGTTTTAAAAGTTCACAGGAGTCAAGTAATCAAAAATTGCGGGGAATTAGCTTGCACAATGCCACAGAAGTTTGTGTGAAAGGCAGGGCTGGCTAGACTATGGGTCATATCCAACCCCTAAGGAGATTTTCTGCCCCCCTCCGCAAAATATATCATTTAAACAATTATTAAATAATTATTGACTCCTCCTGTTAGTCCCTAGCTGAGATGCCATGATGTCAAAAGGTGAATGTAATCCATTCCGGAATCCCGTTTGACAACCAAGGCGTGGCTTCTGACTGGCTGCAGGAGCTTCCGAAAAACATTTGAAAACCGGAACACTTACTTCCGTGTATTTGGTGTTTGGGAGCCAAAACGTTCCAAAACAGAGGCATCTGGGAACCGAGGTTTGACTGTACTGATTTTAAATAATTTTGCAGACCACTTTATAGGTCAATGCTTCGTTCCCTGATTCTGACATAAAGCTTAGCCATTACACTGTGAATATCCTGCTGGCCCTATCAAGAGGAAGAGTAAAGCAGCTGCCTAAGGTGGCAGATTTGGGGCACCATTAAAGGGCATCCAATTGTTGGTTACTGTTATATCTTCACAGCAGGGTCGTGTGGTCAGTTTGCTCAACGTCTTGGCCCAGACTTGGCTGACATAAAGGAAGAAATAAGTAGCAGACTGGGAACATATTAATTAGTCCTAAGCTCTTCCTGCCAGAAGAATGAAAGGGGTTGCTTAACCCAAACTTGAATGCACATTTCCTACCACATTCCTCTTCAAACGTGATGAGAGCTTCTCCTTGGCTTAGCCTGAATGGGATTTTTGTCGCTATGTGACAAAGGCAGGTTATGTTCATATACATGTTCTCATCCTTGATATTCTCCAACCGCATAAACTTCATCTTCTTCTCAGGTATGTCGTTTTTGAGCTGGTATTTTAGAAACCAAACAGAAGATAAAAACAATTTATGACATTGTTCATAAAAACACAGCAAAACCCAAAATGCTATACTTATTGGATGAAAGGTTTCACTAGCGTGTAGGCCCCATAGTGCCTGCTTGTTCCTAAAGTTTCTAACAGGACCGGGAACCTTTGGCCAGTGGCCAGTCTTGCTCAGCTTGCGGGCTTCCAATAGGTATCTGCTTGGTGACTTTGCAAAAAGGATGCTGGACTAGATAACCCTTTGGTCTGATATAGCTGGGCTCTTTTGCGCACTGGCCACACTCGTATAATGCACTGCTAAAAAGTTAGGTAATTTTAAGTGCCTAAGTAGTAATTGCACCTAACGAAGTTGCAAGCGGAGGAGTAATGAGGGTGTTAATTTGTAGTAAACTACAAATTCAGAAATACAAGGAGGAGTTGCAAAGCCTACCCAAGCATGCAGGAAAATTTGAAATCGGAATAGTTTAAAATATTGTCCCTTGTGCCTTAGGCAGCCCAGCTCCAGCAACATCTCACCCACAGTCCTGAATACAGCTATGTCCCTTTGAAGGTTAAACAATGAAATGTAAGTATTACCCGATATCTCTGTGCAAGCTCTCCACATTTGGCTTTCTCTTCTGCAAGCCTGGCTTTAAGGATCTGAATTTCCCTTTTCAGCTCAGTATTCTTTGAATTTATTGAGGAAAGTTCCTCCTGCAGAATGTGAGAGAAGATTTAAATATCTGTCAATGGGAGGTAGCTGATGCTGGGAGATAGAAATGTTTTTTTCAAAGGTAATTGTTTTACTGAATGCCAACAACAACCAAGCAGTTAGAGTAAACAAAATATTGCTTAATATTTACTATAAAAGTTTCCCTTGATTTAATTTCCTATACTCTTGTCCACCCCCAAGAAAAAGTATTCCTAGGTCTGAATAATAATAATAATAATAATAATAATAATAATTTATTTATACCCCGCCCATCTGGCTGAGTTTCCCCAGCCACTCTGGGTGGCTTCCAACAAAACACCAAAATACAATAACCTATTAAACATTAAAAGCTTCCTTAAGCAGGGCTGCCTTTAGATGTCTTCTAAAAGTTTGGTGCCTTCCAGTTGTTTTGAACTACAAGCCTCATAACCTCTGACCATTCATTGTGCTGGATGGGGCTGATAAGAATTGTAGTCAACCACATCTGGGTTGTACCAGGACAGAGAAGACTGCTCTAGCCCAAACAGACAAACCTTGATTATATTTAAACTTTGGAACAGCCAGCTTCTGTACTGCTTGGTTTCCTAAATTAACACTATGGAGGCCTTTTAAATGTCATAGTCACATACTGCAATTGTTTCTGTTGCTGCTCTACAGAACCCATTATGCCATGCCGAAGCACTTCCAGCAATGTCCACATGGTGGCCATAATGTTTGAATGGGTCACAATATTCCTGTTGCTTGATTTTTGCTCTATTTAGTTGTTCTGTCCTTGTTTAAAGATAGTTTGTGTCTCAATCAAATTGTATTCCAGTGCACAACAAACACTCAGATCTTAATGAGAGTGAAGATGTTACTCCCAAATCTTTTTCTTCTCTTTTTCTTTTTAATCTAGATTAGCTCTCAAATTTGTTTAAATACCTCTCTTGGGACATGAACAAGAGTTTTAAGAAGTTGAGTACAGTGGTACCTCAGGTTAAGAACTTAATTCGTTCCAGAGGTCTGTTCTTAACCTGAAACTGTTCTTAACCTGAGGTATCACTTTAGCTAATGAGGCCTCCCGCTGCCGCCGCGCCACCGCCGTGCGATTTCTATTCTCATCCTGAAGCAAAGTTCTTAACCAGAGGTACTATTTCTGGGTTAGCGGAGTCTGTAACCTGAAGCGTCTGTAACCTGAGGTACCACTGTACTCCTAAGCATGTGCAGAGTAACTTTCCTTCACTGCAAACTAGCCAGAACCAGCCCCCAAATGCTGGGCTTTCAAGCCACAGAAAGACGCAGGATTGAGGCTCCCCATATTGACTATTTTGCTATTTGCTTAAAATAATGGCAGTACAAATAGGCTCTCTTGTTACTTGATGGGAAGGGGCCAAATTGACGATATGAGCAGCCGCCTCTATCTTTCACTCTCCTATATTTTGAATTTGTAACGTTCGCTGCTGACCTGCTTTAATCCACAGCAGGAAGCACTCCCCACTGCAACATTTTGACACAGGTCCTGCATAACAGTAACAACACCACCGCCACCTCAGGATAGGGATGCAAAAAGGCAGCAAACTAATACAAATCTATATTACCTGATGCTTCTCCTGCACCATCATTCTTTCCCTCAGTGCCTCGTTTTCCTGACCCTTTAGCTTTGTGAACTCCTCTTGGCAGCGGCACCTCTTCTCATCGGCAGCAAGTTTTGAAAGAAGCGTTTCGGCCTTTTCCTTTTCAGCTTTGGCAACCTTCTCCTTTACAATGCAAGAGAAGTCAAGACGGTTTCAGCGGAAGGCTTTCTAAACAAATGTGGCTGCTTGCAGCAGGCAGCGAAGGTGGGGAACCTCAGGTCTGGGGGGCTGGGTCCCTCGTCCTCCAGGGCTCTCTATCCAGCCTTTGGCCATGGGCCATACCTGTCATAGGGCTCTGCTCTTCACCCTCCCTGAATGCTTTTGCCTGGCTGGAATATATTATTATAGTGTTGTAATGACTCTTTGCTTGCCTGTAAGATGAATGGAGGTGCGTAGAACCCTCTGGCTTGTGTGGGGCTGGAATGTAGCCTGCTCTACAAAGGCAAGAGTCACGCCTATTGTTCCGCCCATTTTTGCCCCAGGTCTTGCCCATTTTTGCTTACGGCTCCTCCCACCAATGACATGCAGCCCCTGGCTCTTCACATGGGAATGAAACCCAACCCAAGGGCTGGAAAAGGGTTCCACATAGCCTATGCATTAGGTTCATGCTGCCATCTTTGAATGGCATGAAAACCTACAGAGATTTACCTCCCATTCTTGCCGTTCCCTTTCTGCCTCTGTGACACGCTGGTCTTCAACTTGGCCTTCCTCAGTAGTCTACAAAACAAAAGTTAATCAGAACCAAATTATCCATCCATTAAAACAATAAGTCCGGTTTAATTCTCACTTCCATCCAGTGGGAGACACCTACAAATTAAAACTATAATCTTCATTTAATGGAACTGCACAAGGACCAGTGACAGAACTTACTTTGTCTTTTTCCTGTTCTCCAAGATGCTTTGTTTCGTTCACAAGTGCGCCTGGAGACTCACCATTCTCCATTCTCTATGAAATGGTACAAATACACAATTATACACTCTGTAAATATCTGGGCTGCAAGCTTTAAGCTATTTAAATGGAACTGCATTGGCACTTCAAAAACTTACCTTTAATTTATCTGGTTCTTTAACATTCTCTGTCTCATTTACAAGTGCTCCTGTAATCTCACTTTCCTCCATATTCTACAAGCACAGTCAGAAATACATATTATGAAAAAGGGTGGGGCAAACCTTAACCTTTTAACTAGAAGACTACTCAATAAAGGGATGCCTGTGTATTGCAATGAATGCCAGAAGTTAAATAAATATTGAGGTTTGCTTCTGAAGAAGCAATCCTAGACAATTCATTAGTGTATGTTCTTACTTCCTTGACATACATTGGGCATCCCATTCACTTTTTTTTGTTGCTACATCATACTGATGTTAAGCTTGTGGTATACTAAGACTCCTAGATCCTTTCCATATGTATTACTGGCAATCCAGGTGTCCTCCATTTTATATCTGTGCAGCTGATTATTCTGGCCTAAGTGCAGAACCTTACATTAGTCACAATTGAAATTCATTTTGTTAGTTCCAGCTCAGTTCTCCAATCTGTTAAGGTTATATTCAAACCTGATTTTGTCTTCAACAGTAATGGCAAACCCTCCAAGTTTGATGTCATCTGCAAATTTGATAAGCATCCCCTCAATACCATTCATCCAAGTCATTTATAAAGGTGCTGAGAAACAATGGGCCCAGAACAGAACCCAGCAGCACCCCGGTCATCTAAAAAAGAACATCAAAAAACTACCTTTTCCCTGACACAATTTTTACTTCGTTATGCACTTTTCTGACAAAATAACCTTCAGTGGACATTTTTCTTATAGTAGCCCTAATTCAAGATATCTTAAGTACTGGATTCATACTGAAAAGCTCTTATCCACATGAGACACAACACAGATTAGTGACACAAATCTGCTGAGAAAAGACCTTCTCTATATTCATTAATAGATTTTCATTCAATATGAATCATTAAAACCTAGACAGGAAAAGATCATGAGGTAATCTGTCTGTTGCCTTGTAAGTAACGGTTAAGGACATTCAGAATAATTTCCAAAGCTCTGTCCAGCCTTTTTCAAAACACCTTCCACTACTACATGACACTTAAGCAAACATTTGTTTTAGAATAAATGTAAAGAATATGAGGAGAGACTACATCTGAAAATAGAACTTTTTAAATAACAAGGATGATGGCATCATCAGTGCATATTCATAGTGCAATTGTCATTTGAGCAGGTCTGACGTGTTAAATCCACTGGAACATGAAGTTTATTTTAACAAGACACATCCAATCGGAATATTTAATAGCAATCCAGTCAAAGCACCTGATATTCTTTACCAGTCATATTTGTTTATGTTCCCATACCACAGAGCTGTGTTGTGTTTATTTATTTATTTATTTATTTATTAATCCAATACAAGTTCCACCTTTCACTAACAATAACGATATTAAAAAATACAAAAACAGATATGAAAAAGTTAATAAATAAAAACAGGCGCCGTTAGCAGTTAGCAACCAGTTTCCCTTCCTCCCAACAGAGTTGTGATTAATCTGCACTGGTATGCATTTATTTGTTGTTGTTTTTTTAAAAAATCATCCAATAAGAAATCAGCATGACTGAAGACAAATCGCTGAAGGCTCATCTACAGGAGAAGGCCTTTAGCTCCCTGAGAAAGACCAACAAAAGGAATAAACAGGCCTCCTTAGGCGGGGAGTCCTGGAGCTTAGAGACTCCTTAGCTTGCAAGATGGCTAACTTGCAACAATCAATCTAGCTAGCTGCTTCACATGCAACCTGGGTCAATATGAGATTTGCAGACTGTAAATGTACATGTACTTACATAGCTATTAGACAGGGTGGCTAAAAATCAATGATTTTTTTTATTTAAATTGGATTACTGATGTAGCCACAGAGGACTCCTCCATGTGAGGGGAGAATCATGCATATTTTTATTTTGTACACCCATGGGAATTAGTGACCCACTCGGTTGAGCCTGAGGTGAATTCCAGCCATACAGCTAATTGGATGGCGAAAGAGCTAGGCAGTTGCAGGTTGGAAAGTGTTTCAGAGGAGCCGCCTTTACCAAAATATATACCGTATCTGCCAAAGCAAGACTTTCATTGGGAATGTGCCGTACATGAAGAAAATCCAAATACTGAACAAGGTAACAGAAATCCTGCTCCCTGAATAATACCAATTCTGCAACCCGAATAAATTGTGCAGATATGTGTGTGAGAGAGCTTATTCTGCATAAATGATTTACAATGCGGCTTAAAGCTTTCAAATAAATATTGTTCTGTGTAAACGGCCCCTTCACATGGCTAATAAAGGTGTGGCCAGCAGTAGGAGTGTGGTGATGGCATGGCTGGTGTGGGGAGGGCAACATAAAAAAACCCCCAAACTCCCCTCACATATGAATTTAACATACGAGATGCTTGAGTGAACCCCTCTAATATAGGAGGCAATATCTCATCATCATCTGAAGGCAGGCCTGTTCAGGGTAGTTTTTAGAATGCGATATTGTATTGTGCTTTTACAATTTTTTGTTGGGAGCTGCCCAGAGTGGCTGGGACCACCCAGTCAGATGGGCGGCATATAAATAATAAATTATTATCATCATCATCAAGTCACTTTTCTTATTTTTGTCTGAATTGCATAAACTTTTAATTCTATGACTATATTGTCACTACCAACCCTGAAACCTTTAGGTAGGTGATTTTGGAAGGCAAGTCGTTCTCTCTATTTTGTTTTCCTGCAGCAATAACACCTCCCTTTACATGGTTAATAATGATGATGAAAAAATAACAACAACAACAATATTTATACCCCGCCCATCTGGCAGGATTTCCCAAGCCACTCTTGTAAGCAAACCGAGATTACCGTAAAAACAACAACAGTACTATGTGTAGCAAAAAATAATATTTTATAGTTACTGCAAAACCTTCCCAACTGTAGAAATTGAGAATACCGTGTGTCATTCCCGCGGGAAACAAATGTTTCAAGGTAATAATTCTTACTCATTACAGGACCTTTCCACGCTTGCGCGCTTTTCTTGCCCCCCCCCCCCCCCCGCTCAGCAGCGGAGGCGGCACTCCAGGATTGGGGGCTCCAGTCTGGGGATCTCCCCTCTCCCTCTTTTCTAGTCTCTACTGCAAAGCTCGGGAAGGGAGGAGAGGTCAGTTGCTGTATTTGGATTCCACCTCACCAGCCAGGGTTGTGGATCAGCTGCGTTGCTTTCAAGCGCAGAAAGCGACCCCCCCCCAAAAAAAAAAGTTAAGACGAGTAAAATTAGAACAGGGAAATGCACTTGGAACCTCTCAAATTTTGAAGATATTTCCCGAGATCGACCAGCAAAAAGCCGGAGGCACCCACCGTCCTCCTGCGAGAGGAAACCACTTTTAGTTTCGCTTTTTAAAAAAAGCAAACCACCACCAAGAGTTCCCCGAAGCGGGTTTGCTTGGTAGGGTTGGAAACAGGGCGCGATGGGGAGGCAGGCTCTTGTTCCAAAAGTTTCTCCTCGTACACAGACACACAACTTACAGGTGCTGAACTTTGCATCCCCAGCTTGCAAAGGGAGGATCGCCAGGAAACGAAAGCAGAAAGTTGCAGCCCCTTGACTGGAAGTCACGTGCAGGGAGGGCGGGGATAAGTCGCCGAGGCGATGACTTTCGTATCAGAGGAAATGGGAGATTGGATTAGTGGTGGTTTTATTTCTCTCCTAGTGGAGGTGTTAGCATGGGAGATGGTCTCTCTCCTCGCCCCCCCCCCATTCACATAAGGAATGTGCTTACCTGACTTCCCATTATGCGATGTTCAAATACACAGAAGCACACTCAAATAGGATTATTAGCTTCTTAGGAATCCTTTCTTTGGCCCATGTGTAGAAAGGAATTCTCCCCACCACAGGAATGAGTCTCAAAGCTTTACTGCAGAACAAGAATTGATAAATGTAACAACACATTGCAAAAGAGCAATGGGGTTCGGTCCTTTATGCATAAACTTTTTTTATATATATAAGATATTTATTAAGATTTTTTTAAATATTACAATAACAAATGAAAAAGAAAAAAAAATACAAAATAAAAATGATTAAAAACCACTCAATTTTTCCATTGCTTATTTTTCCTTAGCTTGTTTCCCGGACCTCCTCATACCTCCCTTTTTTGTATTCCAGTTCAGTTTGTTGGTTCAGCAAATCCTTACCCTCTTTATTTGTCCTAATCTTTGGTCTTAAAATAGTGACGTTAGATTTTTACCTCTTAACAACCCATTTTTCATATTCCCTTAAAGCATTACAGCTGGAAACCACTTAATTTCTATCCAACATCGTTCTAACATTCATTAATTTTACAATATTTCTGTAGATAATCTTTGAACTTCTTCCAATCTTCTTCCACCGACTCTTCTCCCTGGTCTCGGATTCTGCCAGTCATTTCTGCCAGTTCCATATAGTCCATCAACTTCATCTGCCATTCTTCCAGAGTGGGAAGATCTTGTGTCTTCCAATACTTTGCAATGAGTATTCTTGCTGCTGTTGTGGCATACATGAAAAAAGTTCTATCCTTCTTTGGCACCAATTGACCAACTATGCCCAGGAGAAAGGCCTCTGGTTTTTTCAAGAAGGTATATTTAAATACTTTTTTCAGTTCATTATATATCATTTCCCAGAAAGCCTTAATCCTTGGGCACGTCCACCAAAGGTGAAAGAATGTACCTTCAGTTTCTTTACATTTCCAACATTTGTTATGGGGCAAATGATAAATTTTTGCAAGCTTGACTGGGGTCATGTACCACCTGTATATCATTTTCATAATATTCTCTCTTAAGGCATTACATGCCGTAAACCTCATACCTGTGGTCCATAACTGTTTCCAGTCAGCCATCATTATGTTATGTCCGACATCTTGTGCCCATTTAATCATAGCAGATTTCACCATTTCATCCTGAGTATTCCATTTCAACAGCAAGTTATACATCTTTGACAAAATCTTAGTTTTGGGTTCTAATAGTTCTGTTTCTAATTTTGATTTTTCCACCTGGAAACCAATTTTCTTATCCAACTTATATGCCTCCATTATCTGATAATAATGAAGCCAATCTCGCACTTTGTTTTTTAATTTCTCAAAACTCTGCAATTTCAGTCTATCTCCGTCTTGTTCCAAAATTTCCCAATATTTCGGCCATTTGGCCTCCATATTGAGCTTTTTCAGAGCTTTTGCTTCCATCGGTGACAGCCACCTTGGAGTTTTATTTTCCAATAAGTCCTTGTATCTTATCCAGACATTAAACAATGCTTTCCTGACAATGTGATTTTTAATTGCTTTATGTGCTTTGACCTTATCATACCACAGATATGCATGCCATCCAAATACATTGTTGAACCCTTCTAGATCCAAAATGTCAGTGTTTTCAAGAAGCAACCATTCTTTCAACCAGCAAAAAGCTGCTGATTCATAGTAAAGTTTAAAGTCTGGCAGGGCAAATCCACCTCGTTCCTTTGCATCTGTTAATATTTTAAATTTTATTCTAGGCTTCTTGCCCTGCCAGACAAATTTAGAAATATCTCTCTGCCACCTCTTGAAACAGTCCATTTTATGCATAAACTTTTCTCTCTCTCTGGCCTCAGAGGAAGTTCCTAAGCTTGTGTATCATTGCAGAGCTGCTCTGTAACCGCTCCTGCTAAGGCTACTACCACCAGTCATCTCCAAAAAGCACCCCCAAGGCTTCTCAAATTCCAGTTTCCTCCTGTGAGAGTTCCGCAGCTCACGTTTCCAGAAATGGAGAAATACCAGCCTTCTCCGACGCTTTTGCCATAGCGGAACCTTTTGTCTAAGGTAAGCCTCCCTTTACAGCATTTTAACTACAGTGCATTCAAACACAGCATTTTATGTACATTAAACTGAAAACTTTTAACACCCTCTCCCCTTCCCTAACAGAACTTCTACATAGGAATCTGCCTTATAGTAATACAAACCATTGGCTTCTGCCTTTATCACGATTGTTTGACGATCTGAAGGCACATCGGGGTGGATCTGGGTTTGGTCAGGGCTTGAATGAAATGATGACTGCCTGGGAACCACAAGGCCGTTGCCTTGGGTTCCATGATAGAAGACAATAAATTAAAAGAAGGTGTGGGTTGTGGTTGTTGTTTTTGTAATGACAGCATCATGTTATGAGCAGAAACTGTGTAGCTCAGTAGTAGAGCCCCTGCTTTTTGTGCTGATGATCCTAAATCCAAAGCTTGGCATCTCCAGTTTTTAAAAGTATCAGGTACTATGTGATGGGAAAGACCTTGCACACCTGAGACTTTGGAGAATTGCTGCCAATCAGAACAATACCGGGCTAAGAGGGAGAGATTTCATGAATTGGGTGTTAAGCTTAATCAGACATCTGTGTGATACAGTGGTACCTCGGGTTACAGACGCTTCAGGTTACATACGCTTCAGGTTACAGACTCCGCTAACCCAGAAATAGTACCTCAGGTTAAGAACTTTGCTTCAGGATGAGAACAGAAATCGTGCGGTGGCGGCACAGCGCCAGCGGGAGGCCCCATTAGCTAAAGTGGTACCTCAGGTTAAGAACAGTTTCAGGTTAAAAACAGACCTCCAGAACGAATTAAGTTCTTAACCCGAGGTACCATTGTATATCCATTTCAAATGCTACTTTGCATGGTAGAAAGGAGGAGTGCAAACTGGGCCTTTGTGTCTATAGAATTGCTCTTAAACCTGCTTCACAGTCAAGTAATCCAAAGTGGCCTCTACCTAGTAGCTGTTATATGTAAGCAGTCAGCTTCTCGTTGCATTGCATTATGCCCAGAAATGCTAACTGTGCGATCTTACATCCATCTACTAAAAAGTAAGCCCTATTGCGGTCAGTGGGTCTTACTCCCAGGTAAGCACGTATAGGATTGCAACCTAACTAAGTATATTTAAAAAGTTTTTCAGGCTACAGGTCAGCAAACACCACTGAAACCAACAACTGAATCCCTCAATTCCCAGTTAACATTTCCAATTAAAAGGATCTCAGGTTGATAGCAAGACTGGGAAGATCTCCTCCTGAGACCCTAGAGACCTATTAGTGCCAATCAGTAGAAAATGGAAGATGAGCCAATAATCTGGCTAGGCATAAGGCAGCTTCCAAAAATAGAAAGATGCACCGTTAGTAGTTGTTGCGCAGGATCCAGACCATGTCCCAAAAGAATTGCTCATGTTGCAGGGGACCCACATTTCCCAACATTCCAGTGTTTTGTTGCTAAGTCAATAAGCTTTACCAACCAGCTAGTGCATCATTTTCAGTAGAAATTCCGAGTGCAGTTGTGTGTCAACAGCTATAGTTAGCCCATTTGTCACTGGAAGTAAGTGACACATCACCTCCCCATTCCCCACCCCTTTTCTGATGCTGATATATATGGTGTCTTGTGCAATACTCTTCATAAAGTTCTTGATTTTAAAATGTGTTGTTTAAAGCTGATCATTCTGCCCTCCTTCACTACTTGAGCTATTCAAATTTAAACTGTTATCTGCAAGAGAAGTGACTGTTCTACTTCAACACAGATATCAAATCTTGGGGCAATTTGCTACCACCACCACTGGGTTCCTCCCCTCTCAATTGTTTATCTGGTCTTAATTCCCACCCAAAGCCTTCTTTGCTACTCTAATTAATCTTTGTGCTTTTTGTATTTGTGGGTTTTGTTTTTGTAAAAGTATATTTTTTTAAAAAAACTTATGAAACTAACTGACAACAACAAAGGCCCTATCATACAGTGAGTTTACTTCTGAGTCAACATGCATAGAATCGTGCTCCAAGGCAACATATTTTTCATAGAATCATAGAATTGCAGAGTTGGAAGGGATTCTGAGGGTCCTCTATTCCAACCCCCTGCAATGCAGGAATCTCAACTAAAGCATCCCTGACAGATGGCCATCCACCTCTGCTTAAAAACCTTCAAGGAAGGAGAGTCCACAACCTGCAGGATAACATTTACAAAGTGTATTTCCTATTGACAGATCCAAAACAACAATTTCAACCAAAAAGTTAAATGTACTGGATGCTTTAAAACAAAACAAAAAAACCAACCACACCATTGCAGTGAACAGTTTATTATGCAACCAGCCTATTCGCAGATGTGAGCTTCAATTCAGGGGTAAACGTGTAATGGAATCTAGGAACATAGACCTTACTTCTGTATCAAGAATTTGTGAATGGGAAGGAAATTGGACGATAAATGTGCGGAAACACCCAAGATGCATGACACATGATAAAAGCATTATGCAATTTTGCAGGCTGTAGAAAAACAGGCATGTGAATTGTTCTTTCCACATGTGGCTAAATCATTATAAAAACCATGACTATCTTTTTTATATGGTCCAATGCAAAACTCAAAACTTCTCTTTTTAAAAAAAGATCCTCTAAGGCTGGAGCAAGGATTCCTTCAACTGGAAAGGCTTATCTTGTTGACTGCAAGAACGGGACATCGAAATCTTATAAGGAAGCTCTAGATTCCCATAGCTTCATCCCGCTTCCACCGGACTTTCCATGGCTCCAGTACTGAGTGATGGATAGACTGAATGCATATACTGCCTTTCTGCCAAGGCAGCCTACAATTCTAAAATACTAAAACAAGTAAGTTACATAAAACATTAAGTGGACTTGCCTGCCTTGCTCTCTTCTTTTTTTCCCATGGGACAAAACAAAACTGGAACATAAAAACAAAAACAGAGCGCCCTACAA